AGAGAGAGAGAGAGAGAGAGAGAGAGAGAGAGAGAGAGGGGGGGAGGGGGAGAGCGAGAAATAAAAAAAGAGCGCGAAAGTGAGAGAGAGAGGGTGGAAAGAGAAGGAGAGAGGGAGAGAGAGAGAGAGAGAGAGAGAGAGAGAGAGAGAGAGAGAAAGCGAGAGAGCGAGAGAGAGAGGGAGAGCGAGAGAGGTGGGGGAGGGGAGGAGGGGCAGCAGAGGAACGATATCAGAGGCGAGGCGAGGGCTGACTGGGCTGACCAGCTAGAGCAGCGTCTGCTGACAATCATGTATAGGAACGAAACCCGAAGCCCTTTATTAAAGTTCTCTCCACTATTTGTCTAGCTATTATCAGTAGCCATCCAGCCTCCTCGTCACTTCTAATGGCATGTACACCGCTCTGAATGGTCGGCGTGCTCTAGACACCCATCCACTAGTCCACATATCACTGCATGACGTGCAGCTAGTCGATAGCATCTCGTGTGCGCCACTCTCAAACATGCCATGATTGTGAACAGGGACCGCTGGCTCCAGGCTGTTGTGTGTTTAGAGCATAACATATTTAGCCGTCGTGCTATTGCAGACAGAGTTAGAACACGACCGGGACTACGCATACACTCGGCCCGTCATAGCGGCATATAATAGTCTATTATTACCTCATTTTCCTTCACCTAATTTGATTACTCGGCTGGTGAATACCACTCTAGCGTCGTGAAATGCTTCGCGCCATCACTAAGATGTACCTACACACACACAGCTCATTATACCGCAATATATAACTACAATATATGCACTAAAATGCGCATAAATACGCAGCACAGCCACCAGTAGCGCCTTCCCTGTAACTTCGCTCACGTATTCTCACGGATAGCGACACCGATAGCAGTTCACAGCTAAGGTTTGCAGGACGTTCAAGTTAAGCAGTCCGTTCACATGCAGTGATGCATATGCCGTGGTCGGAACAACAACGCACACCCCACGGCTGTGTCCAACAAGTGGCGATAGGTGTCGTTTTCTCCTGGTATAGACCATCCGAAGGACGCGCCCTGCCCACAGAGCAATACACAGACACTAGTGTTGTTGACAGTATAGATAGGCAGCATCACAGCTAACAGCACCAACGGACGGCATTAGAAAACGGAAAAGACAAGACACTATCTCTTCCATCCCCAGATGGAATGGATTCCCCAGATGGATGGGAGCGACAGTGTTACACGACATGTAACACTCCTGTCTACTGGAAATCCATAATATTTACGATCGCAAAAGTCAAAAACACAAATAACAAGTGACACATTTCAAAAGAGGATCGAATCGCGAAGTTTTTTAAAATATGTAACTTACCCTAAATACCGCGGTATACTATGTAAGTGTATGTATCTCCACCGCATCGCACTGACTGGCATGACTAGTGTGTGCGACCCACACATGTGGTCGCATGTGTACCATCTGAGACCGGGTGCAGAGGCGGGGAAGCAGAGGGGAGCTGGGAGTCAGTGTCATTGCACACAAACACAGAATTAAGATGAGCTACCACGAACACTTTCCAGCGAATGTCACCTCCCTGGGGTCCGGCCCAGCACACGCTGACAGACAAGGGAACCGAGTTCAACATTAAACGCGGCCTCGCCTCACCCGCGCTATCAGTTCTCCACAGGGCGCACCCTGTCCAAAACAGTAGCAGGGGAACATGTGCGACCCATCAGCACCTACGATATACGCGCTCGCGGGGTGTAAATGTCTCCTAATTTGCGTAGTGTTTAGGTAACCTTACACAATGCGCCGATTCTGTGACCATCTCTATCCGTTCACAAACTTAATCCGCGGTAATTGTATTGCCAAAATAGAGGAATCGACCTTAAGACCATTACGCCTATATTGACAGGTGTTTGTTTCCTGTCGTTATGACGCACGGCCCGACGGCAGATGGCGGGTGAAAAGTGTGAAAAAATAGCAGCCGGTTTGCTATATATATATATATATATCAAGAGCTAATAATACCTATTATAAGCTCTTGATATATATCAAGATATATATGGGTATAGAGAGACCGCGGTTATCTGTAGCGTCAGCAGAGTAGGCGTGAATAATATCAGCAGCTATAAACTGGCCTGCCCGTTACAACACGCATGAAACTTTCCAGCGATCCCACCCACGAAATCTATCTAATCTGGACTTTACCTCCAAGCTGTAAAAATCTAATGAGAACTGGCGGCGGCTCCGATGATATAGCCCTGCGCTCTACGCGCATGCGCTCATCATACGCCTCGCCAGTGACGGGAATTTCTAAAACAGAAGCGGACGACAAAAGCATTGCGAAACAGCATGCATGGATGTGTGCGCGAGCTCGAAGCGCCATCGTCAGCCATCATAAATGCCTTGAAAACCCATTTATCACTCCGATAAACAAACAGAAACGAGTAAATTGCGCCGCGTGTTTGTTTGATATTAACTTTTCGCACAAGTATGAGCATCGTTACTGATGGCGTATATGATCGCTGAGTGTCGCTATCTTGGAGTAATCATTCCGACTCAGAAGTCTAAACTTCTCCTAAGAAGACTAAGAAGAAAACAAACAGTCACAATGATTGCTCCAAGGTGCTATATAGCCTACATATAGTTTAAGAAAATTCTGGCCTTCGCCGCGACTTGCAGAGACGCTGTGTCTCATAATAAGTTGTTCTTGCCTGTATAGTCGCCGCCAAAACCTACCGCCGACCACCTGCTACGCTGCGACAATATGCAAATAGCTGTGAAATGACCACTTATAATCGCTAGCAGTGGTCAGTAGTTAGTAGTGGCCGCGGCGACACGTGTGCGTGGCGGCGAGCTGGAGTTAAGGACTAACCAGCACGCACATGTTGCGGCGGCGGACGAAACCACCTGCAGCGCACACAAACAAGCGTCACTTACCGCTTGCAATGATCCCCAAGCCTAATGACGGCCAGGGGTGACAACAGAGAGGCGGGTGGTGTGTGTGTGTGTGTGTGTGCGTGCGTGCGTGCGTGCGTGCGTGC